TATTTTAGGTTCATCTAATTTGCAAAATTAGTTTATTAGATATTGGCCTTATGGATCAGCGCCAAAAATTTTTTAGTTCTATAAAATGATTTAAATATTTGATTTTCTTACAATTGAAAAAAAAACACTTAAAAAAGCAATTTACTTGTCGTCTAATAAGAAACTTTATACGCTTTTAAAATATAGAAAATTGAAATGACAGTAGACATGTTTCAAGCACATCAAAAGTAGGAGTCAATTTCCAAGACTTGGCAGACGCGACATGAAAATGATTTGAAAAAAAAAGTAAACTTACCACAGAAAAATAGAAAAAAGGAAATAAAAAAACTGGAAAAACTGGAAGCCGAAAAAGAAAATAGATGATTTTTTTCAAATTATTTTTGTTTCGTTACATTATTGTCTGTTACAACTTGATTATGAACGCATAGTTTTGATGCGCTTGAAGCATATCTACAATTATTTCAATTTTGTATATTTTAAAGCATATGAAGTTTTCTAGAAGGTAATATCTTACCTCTTCAGTTTCATGGGATTATGTATTTAAATAATTTACTGATTAGTATCTAATATTGTTTGTTGTTGTAGAATAATATTTTATTCGATAAGAAATTATGCTGCGAAAATGTAATCATCGATAATACTTTTTTTATATTTTGCATTTTATACTTCTGTAGGGTATTTTTCATACAAAATTCTGGATATTATTATGGATATTAATATCCAGTATTTTGTATGTATATTTTATGGATATTAAAAATTTTCATAACATTAATTTGTGACTTGTTGAGAATTTAATTCCAAAATAATTTTAGCTATCCTATTTTCCTTTTTATAAAACTGTATAAAAAGTACACATAGTTTTTAATTTATTATATAACAGTTTTAAAAATCCTTAAGCAAAAGATTTTTGAAATTAATAGATAAATCGTGTATATCTTTCTTTATTAAAATGAGTAATTTTGGTTTTTGAGTGTGGATAAAATATTGCAAATGAAAACATGGTTGGTGAATAAAACTATTGTATTACAATTTTTTTTATTATTATTAAAATTTTGAAATTCAAATATATTATTTAAGGGTTTTTCTTATGATCGAATAAAAATTTGCTCACTAGAGCAAGCTTAAGATGATTGGAAAAAACTCAAAATTCTTCGTTAAACATCGCCAATACATTTCAATTTAGAAATTAGTAATTTTATTTTTATTTATACTGAACATAAAGACACTTAAAGTCAAAACCATTTTGTTAAATATGTTTGTGACATATTATTGCATTCGAACGGTATCTCTTAGGTGCCACAATCACCTTGAAATAACCAATAATTACCCATACTAAAAATACCGTATAATTACCTCAAATTAACCTACGATTACAATTTTTACGTCTCTTAATGTTTGGCGACCACCTTAGTTAGTGCTCTCTAGCTATTATATGAAAAATGTGTAATCAACGACATGTTTCCTAAAAACTTTCAGTGATTGTGACCATTTTTAAAACTGTTGAAAAGATCTCAAGTGCAAATTTGACATTTTCCTTCTGAAAAAGCCTGAAAGAAAAAGATATTGGAATTTAACCCTTTGTGATAGTATTAAGTTTATGCATAGGTGTCACGCTGATCGGAATTAATTTTCGTTGAACGAGCAGTAATGCATAATATGCAAGATTATAAAGGAAAAATAAGGAATTTAATGATTTTTTTAAACTTTAGATATATGTAACACAATATGTTTCAATTTTATATAAAAATAATATTTTATAGTTCGCCATTGTGTGTTATCGTTTAAAGCAGTCACTTTTCTCATCATTGCAAAATATTATTCCGGAAGTTAAACGGATAAATTTTGCTAATCGTGCTCTTAGGCAGTGCAACGAAAATCTGGTGTGATTTTGTTGTAAAAACTAAACTTTTAACAGCATATACTTGTAAAATCACTTCGAACGAGAATTAATTTGAAATATATTTCACTGGTTACTCTTTTTTGCATCTTTATCCAAGTTATGTTTTAAGATAAAAATGCAATGAAAAGAAGGAAAATATATATTTTTTGAGCAGAAGAAGAAGAAAGTTTATTAATAAATAACATGTTTTTTTTAAAAATAGTTACAAATTTTAAAAAAAATTAAAAATTTGAAAAAAATGTAAGAAAAAGTTATAAAAAGTTGAAAATATGTAAGACTAGAGTCTTCAGCTCACACGATAATATCCGCAAAAGTCAAAAAAGTAATTGCAGCTTGTATGGCCCACAATAAATATAACTTATTATTTTTCTTTCTTTTAATTAATTTTCTTTGTTAATCTCTCTTTTATTTTATTTTTCCATCTCTTTATTGTGTTAGCGTTATATATATATATATATATATATATATATTCTTGTCTGCTCCTTTGAAATTGGCGGTGCTGAGATTTCACCCATCTCACGTGGCAGAGAACAAAAGAATAATTTTTATTATTTTACTCCAGTGTAATTGAACACTCATGCTGCAACTTTTTTTACGCTACCACTATAATTAAAACAGAAGCATCCCATTCGACAAGCTTCCCAATCGATTCATTTTAAGAGACCGTCTTGATAACTCAAATAAAAAACAAAACATTTGTCTCATTTTCAAAAATTTATGTACATTTATGTGGCAAAACTGTTTTTCAAAATTTAAAATTTTAGAAAATCGAAAGTTACAATACTCAATAAAAAGCGTCTCATATATTCTTTAAAGTTCTATGACGTTTTTTTTTCCTTCCATAACATAAAAATTATTCATTCGCTTTTTTAAACTTGATTTCCTGAGAATATTAAAAATTGCATCTTCTAAAACACATCACAGGACATTATGACTTTTCGAGCATTAACATTTTTTAAATATGTTATTACTTCGTTTTTCTGCGTTTTTTTATATAGAGCTTTTATTTGATGCTATAACGCCTATTTAGTAATCATTTCGTATTTCGAAAATTATTAGAATATACTTCCTTCTGAAATAAGTTAATTGTGCAGATATAAATATGAATATTCTTTATATGCGAATACAAATATCTTTAAAATATACATTAATTATCACGTGATGTGTTATGACTAATATTTTATTCTTAAATTAATAACCATAAAACACAAAAGGAGGATTTTTCAGAAAAAATTTCATTTTTTCCGTAATAAAAATCGAATTGTTACTATTTTGTTAACAGCACTTAATAATACGCCCAACTACAAATTATTTACTTTATTAATTAGTTATTATTAATTGATTATTAGTATTTTGCTAATTTTTTATCGCGAATGTTTCAACTGTAAAACATGTTAAAAATTTGCATGTTCGTGTAGTCGGTGGCAGAACAAGTGAGGCATGGCAAGTGGCGTTGCTGATTTCTTTTGTTGCTGTATAAAAATAAACAAACCAAACATCAAAACAAAATATTAAGTAACAGCAGACAAAATATATTTCAAAGAATTGATTATAATTATGATTTTTTTGCAATGCCATAAAGTATCGTAAAGATAGTTTTGGGCAAAACAAATCTGGTAATGAAGCAAAATTTTAACCTATTTAACCCTTTCATAAGGTAATGACTTCCGTTCATACGGTAACCGAAATGAACATTTATTAAAAATACTACACATTTAGTGAAAATCCAAAACTGAATTGTTAATTTAACTGAAATAAATGGTTTCGATGCCCTGCTTTAAGGTATAACTATAAATAGATCAAACTTTACCTCATTTACCAAGTTTTAACACATACTATAAAGTTATATATAATTATCTTACCAAAATCATTACCAGATCCTTACGGTAAAAATTACCGTGGTTTTTAAAGTTCCCATACAGCAGGAAAACGGTAAATTTCACCATTATTTGGTAGTTTTGTCCCTACCCTTTTTCGGTCTACTTTTAAAATAAAATTTTACTTTTTAACCCCTTCCTTCTCGCTCGCGTCATATTGACGGGTTGGAGTGTTCAAATTTCTGGAATAGTTTTAATAAGTGGTAGCAAATTATATAGTAAAATTCGTTAAAGAAAGATAGTTACGCCTACTTTTTAATATAGTAACCAGTAGTTTGATGCTTTAACGTTGCATTTTATATCAAACTTATAATTTTTGATATTTAGTGGTGAAAAAATTACTTATAACAAACCTGCCAACTTTCACTCTTTCCGAGAATGGATTTTCAGAGTGGTAGTAAAACAATAAGCGAAAAACAATCTAGCTCAAACATATAATTGTATTTTGTTCGCGTTGAAATTCGCTTGCTTAAAGATTATTATGCTTTGATATATTTATTGTAATTATTTATATGTAGTGGTGGTCAAACTCATTTATAATTATCATTATAACTCTAAAAGTTAATTGGAATAACCTGAGTATTGCTACCACTTTAAATACGAAAATAAAATCTTCCGGAAAATCCGGAAGAGTTGGCAGGTATGTTATAATGAAAAATACTAAACTAAAAGTAACTTAAATTTCGCTACCACTAGAAAATACTATTTACAAAAGCCAAAACAATAGGCACTTTTATGACCGTTTTCTTAAAAGTTATCCGATCGTTAAGGGGTTAAACATATACAAATTCCAACACACACTCTCCAGAAAAAAAAAGAGCAAGCAATAATTAGTTGAAATTCTTGCACTTTCATTCATTATCTTTTCAAAAATCTTCCATTTAAACACAAATTAAAACCAGCAAATCCTAATGTAATGAAAAAAGGATTAAGGAATTAAAATAAAAAAAAAGAAATGTTTCTTGCGGCTATAGAACAAATTGACCATGTATCTGAACTAAAACACATTTTGCTCCAACTACCATAAACCTTTAAACGGATCAAAGACTTTTCAGCACAGAGAAATCTCAAGTCACTTATATTTTTTCTTATCCTTAATCCAAACATCTTGCTTCTTTCGTCCATTTCTATCTTTAAAAAGGATGGTTGAAGCCAAAGAGCGCCAATTGCGCATGTGCGATCTGAGCGCCACACACTTCCCAAACCTCACTTCAAAGAGAGTTAGATAGGGATCCGACTTAACCGGCTATGTGTTTTCAGCGGGAACAATCCTCGTGGTTTCTATGAACTGGAGTTTGCAAGCAAGTCACCGGGTGTATAGTACCTCCAGGAGTGATGTGATAATTGTTTGGCTAACTGGCCGTGTTAGTTCCGGTGGCGATATCATGCAGGAAACATTTCTCATCTGGAAATTGCTTTGTTTCACTTATATTCTAGCCTTAGTAAGACCAGTACCGGAGAAGATACCTATTGGTGAGTTGTGTTTCATTTTCGACAGGGGAAAGGGGGTGATCTGGGGGTTAATGACAGTTAACCCTTTATTGAGTTAGAAAGTTAATCAACTCGACGGTTGAAAGAATGCATCTCTTTAATTAAAATAACAGTTGGGCTTTCGGAGTTAAAAAGATTGGGAAGCGCTTATGATAGCTATTTGACTTTTGGGAATATTCTTTAAAATATTCAATGTAAAATAATTGGTTTTTTCATTAGTTGAACATTTAATACTTGTTTTGTTTATGCTTTCGAAATAACAGAGTGATTAAAAATATTTTCAAATAATAAAATCATATATTAATTTTTTAATATCAAAAGTCGTAAAAAATTACTTCTGGAATAAGTAATTTAAGATTAATTGTTTTTATAAATTAATATTTAAAAATTTAAGTATTAAAATTAATATATTGAAATTAATATCTTAAATCGTAATTTCCTCATAAATACTTTTAAAATAATAGAAAAAATAAATTATATTACATATAAAAGACGTAATAAAATACTTCGTATATAAGTTGCTTGAAATAACAATATTTACAATAACAAAGTTAATAAAGCAGAGATCAAACAATTAACTTAGACCTCAATTATTTAAATAAAGAAGTACTAAAATAATTTATTTAAAATTTTTACATTCAAAATAATTGAGAAGAGAAAAATTAGATCTAATAAAAAATGCAGATTTTAGTTATTTTAAACATAAAAGGCGCAAAAATTTCTTGATAATAAATAATTTAATGAAAACAAGCAACAACAACATACACTCTCACACGCACACTTATAATACATACTATATATATATATATAAAAGTGAAAATGTGTTGTATTTATATACTCTATATACTGTATGCTTTACTGAAAAAAGATACCTCATAAAATTTCGGATGCGTATTTTTATTAGTCTGGATAAATTTAATTTCAATAGCATATATTTATTTTAAATTTAATTTATTTACTTTGATGAAGAAGCATAAATGTATCTTTCATGCATCGTCAAAAATGTAGAATTTATTAATATAAATGAACTTAATTTGATTGTATCTGATATACTAACTTAAATCATCTCTTTTGAATTAGTACTGAATTAAAATGAAAATTTTATTTTAAATTAGTTATACATTTAATAGTAAAGTGTTTAAATGCTAATTGAAAATAACAAAAATGTTGTTAAAATCATTTTTAAAAATTAATCAACGGAAACAAATTACTTTTAATGCAAGCAACTTTTGTGGCACAGTTTTCCGTATAATTAACTTAAATAATCCCTTATCAAACAGAAAGTCTTTTTACAGTTTTGATGAGTTTAGATAAAAAATTTAAAGCTCAGATAATTAAATGAACATAATATTGTTTTGGGACATAGAGATCTTATCTACACTAATTTCCTGTCTCGGCATTAAGTATGTGACTTGTTTATTGTATCGAAAAAACTGTTCTTCCTTTTTCTTGTGCTATATTTTATTTAAGGTGATCCTTATACCAGGTAAAATGCTGCAATTAAAAAAAAATATATATACAAAATAAATAAAATTACAGGCGATAAAAAATACTGTTTTATAGTTTGATATCCATACAAATTAATTGAAATATTCGGGAAAGAAAAGTATTCTATGAATGATCTCTAGCTTCAAATTTGATTTCTTCATTAAAGCCGAAGCTGATGATACTCCAACTAGCATCTGCGTCATTTTTTTATTTATTTTATAACCGTCTTTGAACGGCTGAATCAATTCTGGGTTTACGACTACTAATTTTCAACTCCGTAGTCTTGTAATTTTAAACCAATCCAGAAGACAAGGAAACTCCTGAATCAATACCCCCTGAGGCATGATTTGTTATGAGAACATCGAGGACTTTGAGACTCGACAGATTTAACGTGCATCAGTCACCACTTACTACACGGGGAGTCTTCGACCGGCAGGGATAGAACCCACGACCTCTTGGACATGGGTCCAGCGCTCTATCCAGGCCCGTCATCTGGGGCATCTATCGAATGTCATGTTAGTGTGATCTTGTGTATGTAGGTCAATCAAAACGAACCTTAAATTTAGACTAAATAAAAAGAAATGCAGAGCTTTGATGGCTTAGTTGTTAAGACACCGGACTGCTACTGTGGTGAGCTGGAGGTCCCCAATAACAACGCTAAGCCCAACTAGTATGAGATCGATGGGTTCAGATAGATGCCTGGGAAGTAAAAGTGGTCAGTGCTCAGTGCTGAACACATTGTTTCAATCATTCCATTGGTCACAAACTAGGAAAGACTTAATCCCCATGACTCTGCTGGCCCACAATGAGTTTTTGTGGAGGATCAGGATATTAAACGATCTTCCACAAACTTGCTACTTACAGCTGGAATTCTAATCATACTTTTAGTTTATTTCTACTAAAATTCTTTAATATTGATCTTCATCAACTGATCATGACTTATGGAAATCGTTTTATATTTTAAGAAATTCTAATAATTAAGTTAATGGCCTGTCTAATATCCCATTCTTTCCTGATTTTTTGGAATATTTATTAAATTTAATTATCTCATCTTGCACTCGTATTTTTATTTATATATTTTTTGTTACCAATGGAAAATTTGTATTCTAATAAACACGTTTGTTTTTATTACATTTCAAAAAGTAGTATTTTTTGAGGTATATTTTGCCTCTTATACATAAAACGCAAAGAATTGGTTTTATTTTATTTTTTTTCCATTTAATTGCTCTTTATTGTTTTAAAAAATCTCATTAATAACTCATTACTATTTATTCGTAGTTTACATTTGTGCGACGTAGTATTACTTTTCTCTAAAAAATGCCATTTTAACTGTAAACTGTGGAAAATTCAAGGACTTTTAAAAAAATATGAAAAAGCAAAATGTGGATAAAATTGAAAATAAGAGATGAATTTTCATTTCGTTGCTTACCTTGGCTAATGTCATTTATAATAATGAAAGCATAAAAAAAATTTAAACCATTTGTATAAAACTAACAGCGACTTATAACTTAAACATGTAAAAGCTTCTTATATCAACTTTTGCGTAATCTAATAGTTATTAATAGTTTTTATAAAGATAAAATGACATGTTGAAATTACATGATGTTGTGTTTTAAAAAAAAATGACATTCAAAATTTATTTCAAATATTTTAATGAAAGGTATTTCAGCCCTCTTAACAATTTTCAATATTAATATTAATCTTTTTCAGACCATTAAACTTTTACTTCCACAATATTTCCAACATACGCTTCAAAGACTTGGCAGTAGAAATGCAAATTTATTGAAAGTTCAAAGCTATTAGTTTTTGAACATACATCTAAAATAAGCATGTCACGTTATCTGTGTTTTGAATAAAGAAATGTAGTCAGAGCTATGCTGCAAACACTTAATAGTGGTACCAATTCGATAACTACCACTACGATTATTTTGCATCAATTCTCTAGTATATAAGACTAGGCATTCTAACTTGATTCAATCAAGGAGAACCTTTTAATAGAGGAAGGTAGGCATTGTAGATAGATTAGATATATACATATACACCGAAGAGCCATTACATTATGACCACCCTCCATCTATAACAATGGGCTTACCCAGCTCTTCATGGTTTCTCGTCCAAGAACAATGTTTTCATGGGCATATTAGGACCCATAATCCTCATAGAACAAGCCCTGACGTCTGTAAGCTACTAGAACATAGTTGCAGACCAGGTTCAACCATTCACGGCAACAGTTTTTCCTGCGAGGGATGGAATTTACCAACAAGATAATGCACCATGTCATAAGGGTCGAATCGTCGAAGAACATTCCAGTGACTTTCAAGTCATGTCTTGGCCCCCATATTCACCTGACCTTAATCCAATAGAGCATTTGTGGTCCTACGTGCTGCCACGCTACCCCCTTGCAATATGAGGGAATTGCGGGACCAGTTGGTGAGTGCTTGGCACCAGATACCACAGACTACCTATCAGCACCTTGTGGAATCAATGCCATGGCGGTTGCTAGCAGTTTTGAGGGTTAAAGGTGGTCCTACATGTTATTAGCAGGATGGTCTTCGGTGAATATATATATATATATATATATATATACNTATATATATATATATAGTCTTCGCGATTTGATATAGAGTATTTTCTGATGAAGATAAAAGCGAATTCTTCGTTAAGATAAATTTCGTGGAATTTAAAAAAATTAACAGTTTAGCTTCTAAGAATTCTAAAAATAGCAATTGATAAGATAGTGAGTAGATATGCGGCAATGTTTATTCAAATAAAACGAATTTGACTATATCGCAAAACTCAAACAATTTTATTTATTTCATAAATGAGATCAACGCGTCCAACTTTAATACGCTTCCTAATTTGAAAACAAAATGAAAAAAATAGTAAATGTTATATTTATCCTTAAAAATAGTTGATGCAAAAAGCGAGCGTACAGAAGAAATTTTCTATTTGTAATTCTTGTACATGTGTTATGAACGTGCAAGCTGCTTCTTTTTTCAAAAGAAAAAGATGTTTGGAATTTATAAATTAAGCGTTTTAGCTTCTAACAGGACTAAGAAATATAAATAAACATAAGACAGTTTTTTGTTGCTCATTGAAGTTTTTATTCGTCTGTGGAAATGTGAGTTCGAAAATGAATCAAGCCTCCTTCGTCTCAAACTCTTATTTTTGTGAAGAAGTTTAATTCTACCAGCTTTAATGCGTGATAGTATAGCTTTTGAAAGTAATAAAAAATGAAAACATTTATATAATTTAAAGTAGCAAATGTTGCAATAAATTTTAAAAATTTACGAAGCCATAAGCAAGCTGGTCGGAATTTTTTTTATTTATTTGTAGTTGATGTTATTAGTATTGTGAACATAAAGGACTGTTTATTTTTAAAAGAGTTTCTTGAAATTCAAAAAGAATAAATGCTTTAGATTCTAAAACGACAACGAAAAAGAAAATAAGTTGAGGCAGTTTTATGGTACTCATTTAATGTTTTATTTGTCAGT